TCAATGCCGATTTGCCGTCCGTTCCAGACCGGTTCCGTCCGGACAAGTGTGCGCACTTATGTACGAGGATTGTTCAATAGAAACACGTTTGATCTATGCAGCCATGACCTGGTCGTCATGGCAACCGAATTAATTTGTTTATATTGTTTGCTTAAGTACTAGTAAAGCATCTGTCAAAACTATTTGCAGTTTGCTCTTTTCTAAGCGTTGGGACTGCATTTTAAAATGGCATCCATGATAGAAAATCCATCCAAAGATACCTTGCGTGCTCTTATTCAGTTTTTGGCCGCTGAAGGATCTTTTGATGATCAGGGTGTGCTGCTCTTGGATTTTAAAGAACCTGGTGTCAACATCAACGCTGAGCGATAATCAGACACTCTAAAGCGCTTACAGGTCAGCATCAAGAATAAACATCCCGGAAAGCTCACAAATGGTGTCATTCTTCTGCATGATAATGCCCGACCCCATGTAGCCCAGGTGATTCAAGAACTGCTTAGTCGTATGAAGTGGGAAGTCAAACAACATCCTTCTTACAGTCCCGGCTTGTTCCCTTGCGATTCTCATGTTTCTGGCCCATTAAAGCCATCACTAAAAGGACGACGGTTCAAATCGCACGCTGAGATAGAGTTTGCGGTTAGGGAATGGTGCCGCAAACAGCCGCAAGAATTTTACCAGCACGGAATTTACATATTAATACAACAGTGGGATTCATGCCTTAATGTTAATGGAGGCTTCTTTGAAAACCGTTGAATAAAAAATGTTCTACAGCCTCTAAACGTGTTTCTATTGAACAATCCTCGTATAAAACCATTATGAGGGTTGCTTCGGAATTTTTGCCATCCGGGTCGGGCCGATTCCCTACGGACAAGTGTACTTCAAGTTTTACTACCAGATGTGATTCAGCTGAACATCTATTTTTTTTATAGATCTGAAATGTCAAAGTTTAAATTTAAATCAATTTTTAACAAAAAAGGATCAACTCTAGGATCAACTTAAATTATCCAAATCAAAACACGCTTCCGCAGAAAACAACGGTGCTATACCTACTTGTTAAATGACTATCAAACAAATGAGTAATTTCAATTTGACTGTATCGAAAATCAGTATGTAATCAAACGTTATATCAAGGAAGTCGTCGAAAATAAAAATTACCACAGAACTCTGGTTGTAACGGCCCTTTGAGCTCAGAAGAGCGCTTTTCTGTAACACAAAAAACACAAAAAACAAATAAGAGGGATAGTGAATAGCACGGCACATAAATATTTCGGTCTGTCAATAGGGTAAATCCTATACTAAAATTGTAATTAATACTCAATAAGAATCAATAATTCAATTTACGTGAACAAAACAAAGCAAAATTTTGACTCGACAACGAATCGTCCGTACAAATCGGAAAAATAAAAGCATAAACGTGACGTAGTTTACGATGCACAAAGGACGAAATTTCTATACAATGATCTAATTAATTCAAAATGTAAATAAGATCCAAAAGAGAAAATTAGGAGAAACAATGAGAGAACATTGAGACAAAGACCTAAAAAAATGTCGTATTAAGAATAATGCTGAGTCATAATCTTTATATACCTCACACTAGTTACTTGCAAATATATAAATCCGCTAAGCGTATTCAATCGAGCAGCCACAACACATCAAAAAGAGAGAAACACTCCAAATAAATATGATGATATCCAATACCAAGCCCCTTATTCAGGTAGACAATAAATCAAGTAATAGTAATGGCGTATCAAGAAAAATTTGCAGCACGGTACAAAGCGTGAACTCTCGCGACAAGAGAATGAAATAACGTTAAAGAAACCCATATCACTCAGATGGCCTCTAACGGTGAAAATAAAGAACTAAGGTAAATGAAACCTGTAATACTAACTAGTTACATCTAAACTAAACGTAATACAAAGGAAATACATAGATATGTTTCGCTCGGTTCAGAATCCCATTCCCAAAAAGGAGTACGTGAAGACCAACGCGCCTTTGAAATGTAGGAGAAAACCACGACCTATAATAGTAAAAGATATGAGTGGACGAATTTCAAGCGTTTTCGAGCGATAGAATAAAAAATGGATAGTGACGGTAACTCATTTGTATTCCCCGTTTTGTGGTGACAAACTTTAGTAAGGCGAGTGTTTGAGGCTTTGCTCAGTGGTCCCGATTTTCTCAGTTTTTTGCCATACTCCAGAAGGTTTGCAATCTCTTTTTCATCAGTACGAATTCGTGATAAAGGTGGTTAAACCATTTTGTTTTTTTTTACAACAGCACATCATTAGACAAACTAATGTGGCAACGATTATGGACGCTTAGTAATTGGAAAAATAACTGGAACATGTGTCGAAGATGGATACATGGTGGCTGTTTCTTATTTACGGATGGAGGATGTATCGATTATTCGATGGCTTAGATTCGAGAGAATTTTCGCATGGATGTTAAGATCTATCATAAGAAATATCAGAAATCGAATCGGGACCACTCTGTCAAGATATATCACTTGACATCGTACTAATTAGACAAACTGCTCCGCGCGTATTTTAAGTGACGTTTTTATCTGTCAAACTACTTCGCGCGCCAATTACTAGTGAAAGTAACAATGCTAAAAGACACAGAGAATATCTCTAGTGTTTCTCAAGTAGATAAACTAATAAACAACCCATGTGTGGATCGAGGTGTGGATAGACCCGACTTGGCTTCCAAGCTCATCAACCCTACATGTCCCGCTCAAACCGCCAAGCAATCGGACTCAAATTTCGTCACGCTTTCCTCTGCGGGATTTAAAGAAAAAATTGCAGAATTAGAGGAACTGAAAACATTTATAGAGTCCGAAAAGTCAAACTTGGTTAGCGCTTTTTGGAACCATTCGGAAGTTTTATGCCAAGATCTAGGAAAGGAGTTTAATGATGTAGACCGACGAAACAATCTAAAACTTTGCCTAAATCAGCTGCAACAATGCGAGTACAAAGTTAAAAAATTGGTAGAGGAATCGAACGAGGTGACTCGACGGCTTGCAGGACTTGATCTGGCTGAAAATATTGAGTTAGGAGAAGTCCCTTTATTTATTGAAAGAGAAAGTTTGTCGTTTCTTGGAGAACCGCATACTATTCGGAAACGCTTGTCGAATATTCGATTGAGGAATGACATTTTTGTGAAGAAAATTCGAGACGGTCTGTCCAAATAGAAGCGTTCTTTGTTTATTGTATTCGCAATAATGTAATTAAAGATAAAAACAAATTGCTGTGGCTAGCACAGATACCGCCTGCGCATGCGCGATCCTGCCCTTTGTCTAAGAATATGTGTGCCAAATTTGGTTCCAATCGGTTCAGCCTTTTAGCTGAAAATGAGAGACAGGCAGATCGATCGAGATTTTGTCTGATTCGGATTCAGGGTGCTTCAAAACGTGTATTTCCGTTAAAAAAGTGTGTGGTCCTAGCCAAGGACATTAGATCCCACCAGGCAGTTACTCGAAAAATTGATCGTCTTAACTATACTACAAGATAGTTTTTTGTTTCAAAAAATCTGCATAAGTTTTTATTGAACCAATAAACCAGCGACTTTCAACTAAAAAGTCACAAAAATAGAGATAATTGATTTTCGAGATTAGATTGGGCTGGTTTAGAGGGAGAAACAACTGCCAAAATTCAAATTCCGAAAATGACACGTGGAATTTTTTAGTTTGACTTTTATTCAAACCTTGACAATACTTAAACTAATAGCATCCATAGAGTCCTAGATGGATTCTGCAGGATTACCCTAAAAAAGCAGAAAAATTCGTTGAATTTTAGACGTTTGCGATCAATGCAATAAGGTATTTTAAACTAAAACGATTATCTTTTAAAAAATAGAACATACCAGAAGTGATATTTAAAAAAGAATCAAGAAAATGCAAACAATTTCAAAAATATCTAAAAAATATTTTAAAAATTAAAAAAGGTTAAAAGATTTTTAATTTTGTTTAAATCTTTTTGAATATTAAATTTTTTGATTTTTTTAGTATTTTGAAGAGAGACTTTAATATGCTATCTTTTTCGATTCAAATATACCGAGTGTTAAAAAAGTTTTTACTGGCCCCGTACAGATTTTTCAGTATCTTTTTTAACTAAGAAAGTATAGAGTCATTCTGAAGCTTGACAATTTGTTAATTTTTTTTAAATCTTTTGAACGAGCGAAAATGTTGATTGGCAAGTTGTACACAAAAAGAGCTCATGATACTTATATTATTTTTTTGATAGTACCAACAATTACGGGGATACTATATAGAAGTGTCGAAAATGGGACACCCTGTACGTAGAACCTTAATTAAAAATTTAAATTTCAGGTTCTTTTTTGATTCACCGACATTTTTAAGCCATATATCGCAACGATCTTAAGAGCATAAATGAAAATTTGGATACAAGCTGAAGATGGGGATTTTTTATCCACATCTGGTAAACTTTGTATGCAAACCATGAAAAAGATTTCTTTAAACATACTTTTTATTTGGATTTTCAACTTTGGCTCGTGGCGCATATGAAAAATTTTATTTTGGCCCCTTGGAAAAAAAGGTTGCCCATGCCTGCTCTAGATGGAACAACCTCGGGGGTTACTGTTCAAAAAATGTACACAGTGTGTTTGGGAATTCATGTCGGCCCTGTTTCAAAATGTCGAAACTTAGAACTAGAAGTTTGTAAACATCATTAAGTATACATAACATTTAACATATATGTTGGTGATGGCAAAACTGTAAGTGCAAATATCCCAAGAATGGAGTATTGGAGGAGGGTACTTTCAAAGGGTGAATATTTCATATAGTGTCGAAGCAAGGTAATGTGAAAACTGAAAGAAATGACAAAAACGACCTCTCTTTCTAGATAGGTAGTGCATTATTGTGTCCTCAACAATCGCGTGGTAAATCTGGAAGATTCCATTTAATTTGCGTCACTGTTTATACCCAAATCACCCATTCAATACTCCCAAACTGTTTTACCATAATTTTAACATTCAATTAATATTTGCAGCAAGTGACCTTGAATCAATTCGAGCCTTGTTCAATGAGAAAGAGAAAGAATTGTCTTTGGCTGTTGCGAAAGTTGAAGAGTTGACACGTCAACTGGAGGAGCTACGAAGGGGAAGATCTCGCGACCAAGCACCTCCGGCGTCCGCTTTAGAACTTGATAAATTGCGTAGAGAGCTTATGGTAAGTTTACAATTGGTTTTCAGTTTAACAGTTGCACTCTTTTGAAACAAATAAGCAGGATATTGAATTTTAGTTTCTAGCATATAATTCATAGGAAGGGTTGATTTATAGATGCGCCGCGCGATTTTATTACTTCATAACTGTTCTGGTAAGAAATAAAGCAAAAGGAAATCGGGAAACGTGTACTTTTACATAAAACGAATAATGGCGCTTTGATAAAGAAAACCACGCAACTGCGCGATCTTTTCAATTTTTTCCAACTGCTTCGATACGTTCATCAAGGGAAAGCTAACCAACATGAAATGAAAGTAAGATTACACCAATATGACATATGGATAATTATCGAAAATCAATTGCTATTATTATATCTAGTTTGCTAATAATACACCTTTGATAATGTTAATTGTGCAACTGACGTCGTTCTATTTTAATTATTTCTGTAACAGTAACTACCTCATCCTTCACATTGTAGTGGTTTACCGGGTGCCAAGGATTGAAATGTTTGGCGTACACTTTTTCATTGTACCAAGCTACTGTTTACCTAGAGAGTAGTATTGTGTCTTCACCCAAATAAATAATTAACGATTGGACTCTGTTCTGTTTAGAAAGTTAATCATTTAATTGGGCCCGATGAGCTAAGTAAAAGTGGTTAGTCTTTCAGGAACTATGAACGATTGGGTGAGCATTACAAATGTGCTTTGCTTTCAGTATAGGAATAAACTCAATGAACAACAAAATCAGAGGTTAAACCAGCAGAGGGAGGCTTTAACTGCACGCCAAGAGGAGATGAGCAGTATTGATAAACGAATATCGGAACTACAAGAACGTTTACATCGAAAGAGACTGCTAAATCAACAACTGGCCACGCAGATTAGTGCAGCTTCAAATAAAACTGCATATCATCAGCTTGTTAGGTGAGGGTAGTTTCTGTCGAAAAGTTATGCTAATTACAGTTGTAGATTGACTGGATCCACGGATCAGTGCAATCAGTTTTATGGGAGGAAGTCTCAGCACTTACCAAATGGTCTACAAAGGGGGAATATTGCAACTGTGGAGCCATACAACCATGTTCCCCTGCCTCTAAGTAAGCCTCCGCTACATTGCGGACTACAAGAGGTAGGTGATTTATAAGTATTTGACTAAACTACTTCACGTATAATTTCCAGCAAACGCCTACATATCACCCAGTATATCAACCACAGAACCATCATATAATTAATACAAAACCCGACATAGAACATCAGGAACAAGAAGAAATTAATAAAGTAGTGAATCACTATCCTCCAGGACCAGAAGATAGTGATGCCTTAAAAGAATTTTCGGTCTCAAAATCCGATCCCAAATATCAAACATTACCATACAATACAAAGTTCACCGTTAATGTACTATCAAATAGAGTTAATAATAGAATACCTGATAATAACGACAATAATGTAAATAATGATTTAAAGGATGTAGAGCAAATTCAAACCATATCGACAAATAGCAATATTCAATCTCAACACATGACTGTACATAGTGCGCCGCTCAGTGTCATAAACAAGAACATTGCGACTCCGCTTAATCAAAATGACTTACTAGTAAGGAAGAATTCAGAACCTGTTATGAGTACAACACAAAACAATGAGGAAACCAAGAATAATGCTAACAAACATCAGTCCGCGGAGCTTAACTCGAGTCCATATCAAGTAAGTACCACCCATTCTGTTGTTTTAACTAACTTGGTATACCCATAGAAACCTATCAGCAGCGTTGCTCCCACTTCGGTGCAACACTTCGGCAAGATTTCCACGATTTATCAGACCTCTTCAATAAAAGTTCAACCGGTCGAACCACAAACAGTCACCAATAACCAGAAACATTTACCAGTTCCTACCGCAAACCAGTCACCCAATCTACCTTTATCCCCTCCTCAAGCTAACAGCACGCCGATCAGCACGCCGGAAGACAAAGTCCGACCGGCCTTACCACCAAAACCGGCCATTAAACCGCCACCGCGACAAACTCAGATACCTCCCGAAAGTGACGCGCCCAACCCAGATCCTCCCGACGACAAACCGGCGATAACCAACCATCGGTTGGCACCTCAGCCTCCGACGAACCAAACTAAAAATGTAACCTTCAGTCAGACGAATCAAAAGAGTACGGCGGCGCCGGAAAACATGCCGATAATTAAAGCGAAACCTCTAACGATAAAAAAGCAACCGCTCAGCGAGCAGCCTAAACTACGCAATTCGATGCCGAAACAAAACGGTTTCAGTTCGACGAATAGGCGAATAGAAATTCCGCCGGCCTTTCACTTTAACGACGTTGTCGCGGAGAAGGTACCCGAGGAGGTGACCAAGGGCGCGGATGAGGTTGATAAGGTTTCATTAGAGGAGAATGATAGCGTGCAGGAGAAGGAGGAGGTTAAAAGTATTAACGATAACGTTATAAGGCGATGTCGAAAGGGGAACTTGAAGCAAAACGGAAAGGCCAACCTCTCGCGTCGGGTAAGTTTCGATCCTTTGGCACTTCTGCTCGACGCTAGCCTTGAAGGCGAGCTGGAGCTCGTCAAGAAGACGGCCGGACAGGTGCCGAATCCCAGTGCGGCGAACGACGAGGGAATTACCGCCTTACATAATGCGATTTGTGCGGGACATTTTGAAATTGTCAAGTTTCTAGTGGAGTTTGGTTGTGATGTTAATGCTCAAGATAGTGACGGGTGGACGCCGTTGCATTGCGCAGCGAGTTGTAATAACGTTGCCATGGTGAAGTTTTTAGTGGAGCATGGCGCTTGCATCTTCGCGACGACGTTGAGTGATCACGAAACCGCGGCGGAAAAGTGCGAAGAGGACGAAGAAGGTTTCGATGGTTGTTCCGAGTATCTCTACAGTAAGTATTTTATCTGTCATTACTTGTACTATTGCAGATTGGTTTGCAGTTATCGGATGCATATCCGCACCCCTTTATTTAACATACTTTTGATAACAGTTCTCTACCAGAACATCTATCCATTGGTCATTCCCCTTGATTTTTTAATTTTAAACTTACCAATCTGTTTCCTAGGCTTGATTTCCAACTCTTACGTGCTTGTGTTACTGTGTGAAGCGTATCCTGTTGTTATTTTCGATTTCAGTACATGATATATTTATTATTATTACTTTCGTTTCAGCAGATCAGCAGCGGTCGTAAACAGTGCCTACCCTTATACTCTTTTCTTTCCCCACCTCGACAACATAACTCAGAGATTTGTCTTGCCTTTCTACATATCAGTAGCACTTTGGAAGGATCATTCAAGTCTGTATCTGCTTGAATACGCCCAGTCTCCTTTATTCCAGCAAGAATGTGAGCAATTTGAAAGGGGTTTTTAAAAAATCTGTTCGCTTTCGTTTCACACAGCAGGGTTGTTTTAGGCAAAACGTCTCCTAACCACTAAAAGAGAAATACGTTCTTAATTCAACCAATTCAGTAACGGGTACATAAAGTCATTTTTTTTGTTTACAGGCGTTCAAGAGAAACTTGGAATTCTGTCTGGTGGAATTGTGTATGCGGTTTTCGATTATACAGCTCAACAACCAGACGAATTGTCGTTTAATGCTGGGCAACAACTAACAGTATTAAGGAAAGGAGACGAGAGCGAGAGAGAATGGTGGTGGTCGCGATTAGATGATAAAGAAGGGTACATTCCCAGGAATCTTCTTGGGGTGAGTATCCTTTTTCCACTTTTACATTTGTCATCTTCACACAACGCTGTACTGATTATCTATTTACTTACAGCTATACCCGAGGGTCAGTCCAAAAGAAGATTAGTGGTGAAAAGAAGAAAGAAATTTTATGATTTTTACCAGAGTACCTTTTATCTTTTTTTTGTATTTTATAACTAATCCCTTTGCTCAATATATCTGTCAGTATATTGGGTGTAGATAATTGAAATTGTTATGATTTTATTATTTTGAATGTAATTAATAAGTATTTTCATTTAAATATGTAAATATATAAATATGAAAATAAAGTTGTATACAAAATTGAATTGTTGCAGTTACTTTGTTGAGTTGGGACCTAGAGAAAATTGCTCCCTTTTAAATAATTGTGAAATAAACAAACATATATACACAATGATAGAAGAGAGATGGAGAGTAGCTCACAAGGTAACATAACTGATTTACACATTTGGCAAAAATATTCATGCTGTGCTTCTCTCCTTGCATAAAACAATTTAACTTCAGGTAAGATTCCTTCCCTACTATCTTTGCCTATAGGTTTGACAGGCAAGAGAGCACTGATAATAAGGTAGGTTTTGTCATTTTGTGTTTCCGCAAAAACAATATGTCTCAATATGACTGAAAATTACCCACGCCAGAGATATATGGGAGGGGGAGGGTTTATTAATATCTAAATCTTAAATAATAAAATGAAAAAGTAGGTAGGTATAGGATAAAGTGTAGACGAATATTGAATATATAATAGCAGCCGCAAAAGAATAAACAATAATAAAACGCAGACTAGATTTTGGATCCCAGAAAGTAAGAGTGTAATCAAATAAAAATGGAAACAAGCTGAGCCAAAATACAAAAAATATCAAGAACAGCGAATAAAAATAAAAGAGATGCTAAAACAAGCAAAGAAAATAGCATGTACAGAATGTAGAGAACATAATTGAGGAAGGCAGTTCCGGACCAGAAGTGGTTCTATAAAATGCTCAGGAAGGCAAGCACAATAAAAGACATCAAAGACACAAATCAAACATCTCAAATTGTAGAATAAAAATAAGATCAAATGCAGTGAATCAACAAGAACAAGACACAAGAAATACAAGTGGAAATCATGATCAGTCAAATCAAGTAATCGAATGAAATGCAGATCAATCAACAAGATTGAAACACAAAAGACATCATGAATACAAGTGGAAAATATGATCAATCAATCCAGTACAAACACATCTACGGTTCAATTAGGCAAAACAACTTGTAAAGTAAATTTTATATACAAAAAAAACATCAAAAGCATAGCTCAACTCTAACATCGAGTTCAAGTCCAGTATCGCCCAAGCAAAATATATAAATAGAAGAAAGGTTAATTAAAGCACCCCATTCTCGTATATGCTAAGACACAAGAGATGCAATCCGGATGAGATGAGCAAGCAACAGGTAGTGAAGAATCGGACTGTATGAGGTCCTTACTCAAACACCAAATTAGAGGGCCTCCCTTTCTCATATATGCGAAGACACCAAAGCTGCATTCTGCAAGAGATGAGACTAGCAACATATACAGCGAAGAATCGAACTGCATGCAGTACTCGGTCCACATATACTACCTAGTTAAATCTCTGCTTGTAATTTTTCCTAAAGTTAGGATTACATAAAATTGTAGTGCTGGAAAAGATGTTCGTAATTGTTTTCAAAAATTTTATCAGTAGTGTCACCCAGTAAATGTTTAATAAACTGGACCTGAGCGGTTATTTGAAAAATAAAAACCTAAGAGGGCAAGCTGTCTCTTACGGTTACGCATCTGATTGATTCTTTCAATTTAATTTGACTGCGATCGTGATAGGTTCTATTGAAAAAACCAATCAGATGCGTAACCGTAAGAGACAGCTTACCCTCTTAGTTTTCCCTTCTCTCTGACCTGCAGTATTCGTGCTTAGCATTGGCATGCGTAGTCCATGTCCATGTCGATGGTGTGGGTCATACTAGGGAACCAGGCGAGTTATTTAGCTGATAGCAATATCAGGGCATCGATTCCCGAAGTTAGTCGATATGCTCCGTGATGTGACCGGCTGCCATGACGTCATGATCGTATACGATAGGGATAAGTTCAAGTTTAGCTGCATTCCCGAATCGTGGACAAACTTTATGCGCTAACCAATCACAGACAAGAATTGAACTGTCATTTGTCAGTTTTGTATTTTGTTTTGTTTTTGCATTATGGATACTGTTATTAATAGCTGCAACTGCGCATGACTTTCACGCAACGAGTGGTCTAGACCAGTCGTTGCGTTCGATCAACTTATCGCTCGATGTGATAGGTTCGAGAATGCAGTCACATTCATGTTCACATCAAGGTCAGCCGATGGGAACAAAGCACATCTTCGGGAATCGACGCCCTGGTAACTGTTGAATGAAAAGACACCTTCGCAATGAAAGGTTCCACGCTGTACATACAGCTCGCGACGATACATACATTTTTGAGAGTTGGCAACCATGCAATTTCTAGGTGGGGAACATAGATATATAAATACATATACGTCTTTCGCTATAGAAACCGTTGCACGTCATTGATTTGTGTATCAATTTTAGACATATGCTGCAACACTGCAACATGTACAGAGTGAGCAACAAAGATTGAAGCGTGCCGCTTCAGCTAAATTGGCAATGTGCCGCTCATAGCATATGCTGATTTGATACAAGATACGAAATACGAATAGACGCACGTCACTGTGACAGCGCAGAACGTCATTTTCGCATACAAAGAAGGTAGTTTTGATATTAATAGGAACAAGCGGTGATGACGCACGCTTCAATCATTGTTGCTCACACTGTACAAAAAAAAACAAGTGTGCGAAATCTATAGAAAACTTGTCTGAAATTGATTCATAAATCAATGACGTGCACCGGTTTTTATAGCGAAAGACGTATAGATACAGCCATACCCCAACATAGTTCAAAAGGACGTACCATCTATCACCATCACTTTCGGCACATTAATTACGTATAGCGCTATCCTTTATAGAGGTGCCCTGAGCATGGAAGACAGATTCGCATTATTTATTATAACTCTCAATCAAATTGTTAGCACAAATCACACAGAAAATTATCAGATTTGAAACTTTACAACATAAATAAACGGCCTTTTTATTTATTTAAATCGCATAGCAACAAGAAATGTTACATTTAAAATGGAAGATGTTACTTAGAAAGCTGGCAAAGAAAAAATTACAGCTGCGACAACAGGAAGAAAGTGTGTGAACATGTGGAAAGTGATTAATTTAAAAGAGAAGTTATATTGGTTGATGTTTCTGAACTTTATAATAGGTGTTAATAGTGACAGTGATGATTCGAATTTGTCAATTTCATCTGACGATGATTCGGATTGTGAACTTTTACAAACGTAATGAATGTTCACTAAATGAGTATTATCACCAATTGGATATCATTGTTAAGATGTTGTATTTATTTTAAATAAATGTACACGTGTAGCTTACTTATTACAATTAGCACTATAATTTCAAAAACAAACCCCACCGATTGGACATATGCCAAAAGGTAGGCAAGACGCGTAGCGACCAAAATTTGATATTGCACGCACACACAGTCTATAAATCTCGTTCTCCTAAGAATATTGCACGGATCCTTCTTTGTGATCATGATACAAACGCACTGCATCAACATCATATAGGCCAAAATGATAATTGGAAACGAATTCACTTCCTGTCGCAACTTAATCTCCGTTACCATTACGCCTAAAACCATGCAATTAAAATTAAAATGTTGAACATAAACTTTACTTCCTTGCGGTTTTTTTGATAATCTGCAAACCAGCAATGAATTCACTGCAGCACATCATGCTAAACAAGGTAAACATTTGAGCATTTATTTTAATATGTGGAAATTACCGATTCGTTTAATGTATGTACTGACTTGTTGTTTGTTACTAACAATTTTCTCCGTGAATGAAGCAGTCACGGGGGTGGTTAAAACTGTAGTCAAATTTGTGTTACGACACCTAATTCCGTGATTGTCTTCGACATCCAACTGTAGGTTCGAAACCCCGAAACCAGGGGCGGACTACCCATCTTGCAGGAGCGAGATTACGCTAATCAAAGCTCTTCAGTTTAGAATCTATGTGCGTTAAATGAGTGGCGATTCAGTAATTTCCACATATCTTGTTTTTAGTTTTTTTTGCCTACAAGGCCATGCAATTTTCCATCTTGCTTTCAACAAAAGGACTATTGCACCAAAGATGAGTCACATCTTGTGTATTTCACCCTTTCTCAGAATTTTGGTACCTGTTACTACCTGACCCATTGCCCCCAAAAACTTGCTTTTAACCTTGAGTGTAACCAACATTGTGTATATGCATTTACTATCTTTGTTAACTACTGCTTAAACTTTTACAAAATATTTTGTTAATTAACTTTTGGACTGTTTTAATCAAACTGCAAGGTTTTTCTTTGTCGTACTGTTTTTACCCTTGGCAGTTACTTTTGCGAGAGTACGACTCCTTTTGGCTTTGCTTGCTTTGTTTACATTAATGTACATCAACTAAATTTCTGGGTTTTCACAATCTTAATTACGATCATTATTAAACAAACTTTTCACAATTACAGTGTTTTATTTAACGTTCCTTCCCTACTGTTCTTCAGGTCAAAGCGTTGTCTACAACTAACGTAAGGGGGCTCTGCCTTATATGTTTTATCACGTGCCACTTTTCAAATTTAAGCGGGATCTTGTTTAATTTTAGAGGGAATAGTCATTCGGGGGGAGGGGGGGGGCCATTTTTAAACGTTGCCGGGTTGACTTTATTTCCGTGTTCTTGTAGTGTGAAGTTAGCGTAGAACCTGGGGGTTAAGTACACTACAACAATATGGGCCTCGAAGTAGGTGGCAGGTGATGCCAGGAGGAAGAAGAAACTAATCTGTGTCACCGCTCAGGAATGCTACAGGATGCTGCGCCCATTATAGGATTCTAGATTAATAATAATATTGAGCATTCTACGGAGCCGAGACTAAAATGAGGGACAGGGCTGTATGTGAGGGTATATACAGGGAGACAGATAGACAGACAAACGAAGAAAACCATTACATTTTTGGATAGAAAAAAAATTCCCCTAAAAACTCATGGATGTGTAGAGAAAATAAAAAAAAGTTTTCGTACTAGCACAATTGTGACCTCCCTCACCCCGCCGACTTCATCTAGCGTACCTATACGCTAACTAATTTGAACAACACTAGTCCCCTGACTAAGGCATGGAAACAACAAACATGAAGACCAAGAGAAGCCAACCTTGTTGCTGAAAACGGACAGGACTGAATTAAAAAAAATAAAAATGGTTTTCTCTCTTTTAATAAAGTAAAAATAATACACAATAAATAATCTACATGTATGTTACAATGAGTAGTACATTTATGAAGATACAATTAAAAGAAATAATAAATTTGTATAAAATATTTAGATAATGAATCTATTCATCATAGAAAGTCAACAGTTAATTAAAATATCATCATGGTAACTATTAAATAAGAAACTGTAAGACTAGTTTAACATTTAAATGACTTCTTCGTTCACAATGACGATTATGAAGACTAAAAAATTAAGAATTAGCCTGCACCATATTGATGGCTACAGAGAGAGTTTACTAGAAAAGGTACATGTATGTTATAAAATATCATAAAAATACTGAATATGTCGTATGTATTTTCTCAGGCAAAAGCTAAAAATGATATCGTTACATAAATCTATCGCACTGTATATACATCTGCTCACAAAATACAGACAAACAGTAAACTATTTACATACCATTTTCTAAGTTATGTGGCACATAGCGTTAGAAAGCAACAAATAATTTAAAATATTTAAATCACAATCAAATATTACACCTCAACAAACTAAAACGTTGTTGCAACAAAAACTTACCACCTTATGACAATATCACGCGAGACCGGAATCAATGTGAGTCCGTCTTTTCGAATCTGACCTTTGTAAACCGTGATCGGGCGTTGACTTTAAAATATCCGGCTGACTTTGACTGACGATCGCCTGATTGATGATCGATTGGTTCACGACCGATTGATTTACGGAGACCATTGTGCCCCTACTTAACGTGCCTAAAAGAGGGGTGCCCGGGTTTTGTATGAGGAGATTCATATAGTCCGCAATTAGAAGCGTTAATTCTAATATTTTCGGTTTACTCAACGAAAAGATTAACTTCTGCGACGGCTGCTGATCGTTTTGCGTTACCACTAACATAAAATCTTCCTGGCAACCGCCGAAAGTCAAGACGTTCGTATAGGGATAACGAACGCATTGTTGCATCGTTGCTAAATCTAGTACGGTAATTGAGTCTTCATTCACAGCCAACCATATCATAGGGGAGTCGTGCTGACGCAGTCTTGCCTGTAACGCAAATTAAACATAAAAAAGTAGGTAGACACAAAGATTAGAGTCTATATACCACCTCTACAACTACAATAAAAAAATCATGACGGAGAAGACAATTAATGCCATACAAAGCGCTCTCCATAGATTATATGGTTAACTGAATCGAACTATCTTGAACTTGACTCTGCGCAAGATCTCAAGGTCAAAGTGACAAAAAATCGGCCTGTCCTGGCATGGTCAAAACCGACGTAATGCAAGTGAAGAGACTCCCACTACTCTCTATGAATGTTTAGCGCACTCAACCAGTCAAAGCAATCCATATTAAAGGGCATCCTGGTCTGGAGTGACCAAGATTACAGCCTCAATTTGTCTCAACTATGGGATATATGGCTTGGGTGATGTAAAGCAAGCGGGCGACTCTAAAGGAGAGTAACACTAAAGCATTGAAGAATTATAAGTTCAATTGTAATTCTCAACTTCAACGGAAGAGTAACACAAACCGGCGAGACACCTGACAGATGTTTCAATTGTGAGTCCGAGGGACATTATGCCAATGAATGTCCATCTCCGAAAAATTATAATGCATGTTTCAAATGCAAACAACCGAGTCATGCAAAGGACAACTGCACCACTCAGAAATAGACGTCTCAGAAATAGATGTTTCGCTGAAAATACAACGCCAAAGGCGAGCACTTCCAGCAGACACAGGATCCTATAAGATTGCATACGCTAGAGTGGACGGGGCAAACTGGTAGGTATTCAGGGAGCGCAACGAATTTCCATTTAAAGAACAGAACAATAAACAGCCTCGTCAACCTTCCCTTCAAGTTTAATTAGTAATCCACCGCCAGGAGGCGCTAAAATAATAAAATTATCTTACCTGGAACAGAGTAGCTCCAAAGAAAGGCCATTTTCTGGTGCAAGTTAAATAAATCCTAACACAGTCGAGTTGCGTCCGCCCTTTCAGCGCGCGCCACTTCTCCAACAGTTTCGCCTGCAAATCGGCGAGCGCCTCCTGACTCAACTGATCTCTGTACCTATACGGGTAGAACTTATCTATCGCACTTAACGCTTGATTCGAGTGCGCGGTAAGAATGTGATGTACACTATTTAAAGCGGTCAGCGTGCTCGAATTTTGCAGCAGGTTGCTAGGGCTAAGAGTTCCGTGAAGGCTCGATCCGTTTAACGTACTATTCGGACTTTGATGTGCGCTGAGCGATTGCAGGTGGGTACTCGTGGGTTGGGCGTGTGCACTTTGTGCCGTGTGTAAGTTTAAAGTGTTGTTAATGCTAGTGTTTTTATGCGAGCCGAAACTGCAATCTCCGGTATCTAGTTGGACCATGAGAGCGGCAAGCTCCAATGCGAGCTCCTTGCTCAATGGAAACCGACCAGCAACTATCTGTTTATTGATTTGATAGCACAGCAACAGACGTTCCTTGTCGGTTTCCAATCTCGAGCTATTCTTCCACCATAACCTGTTTTTGTATGTCACCCTTATGACTCGCGTATTTTCGAATTTGCCTAGACCTTTCTCTCGCAAGGCCACCTCCCATTTGGAGATAACGTCGCATAACTTCGCCGAAGGGTCGAGAGTGTGTTCCAGGTCTTTTTCAATGGGATCGTCGCTGAATAAAGCGAAGCCGTTTGTCGCCCTACAGCCAATTTCTGTTGCCAAACTGTCTTGGAACTCTTTCACCGTACTCGAACCGTCGAAACTTGAAATGTGATATGTTCCGTTGAGGAGATGCACTGGCATTGAGTGAGGTAGCGCGTGGTGTTGAGGATTTTTCAGCAGTATACTTAGAACTTCCATTCGGGATGGTTTATATTCTCGTCCACCTAAAGTTAGGATTTATTTAAAGGAATTCCTTTGTGATAATGTGTACCTGTCAAAATGGTTCGTTCCAACGCTCTCTCGCAATACGAAGCGTATTTTCCACACTCCGTTCTGTTATCGGCGTTACGCTGGAGATGATGCTTCAAGAACCATAGCAATCTTGAAGATTTGGGAACGAAAAGACTAACGGACAAAGCCAATAATTGCCATCCTTGTATCAAAGTATAACTAGGAGGTCCCTTATGATCCTTGTGGTCTTTATAGTACTCCTTGTGTTCTTTGTATTTATCTTCTTGAGAAGCCTGTATATTGGAAGATGAAATTTGTTGTTCAGATGAACTATTTATACTGGGTGTTGTCTCACATGTGAATAAACTTTGTGTTGCACAAAGTAGGAGTTGCTGAAAAGAATTTTGGTGTTTCTTATTGTGTTTTGTGATAATTTGTGTTAAATGTGTGAACAGAGAAACCAGCCTGTATACCTATTTGTGTGTTATTTGTGCCTGGGTGTGTCAGTGTAAGTTGGTCGAAACATACACAGGCAGCTAAAATCTATTCTAGACTTCTATGAAGAAACATTCCGAAAACAGAACAAAATGAATGATAACTTGAAACACCAACATTCTTAATCAGTAGAACAAAAGTTATTGTACATTATCACAAATGCATGCACTAAAATAAGTGAAGTAACGATTGTGTGCAAGTGGAGAACCTCAAATGTACTGTGAAGCTAATTGATATGACTATACAATGAATGCGTGCAGAAAAATAATTTGGGATTTTAGCAAATCTGTTCAAATTGTGACACCAGAAATGCAATGTTGGACAAAGAAACGTTTACATCGTTTATAATCACTTTTGATTGTGCGATTGTACACCAATTTATAAATACATCAGTTTAAAAACTAGTAATACAGAGTAAGTTTATTTATTATATACCTAATAGCTTAAAAAGTTTAAGTTTAAAGTTTGAAAGGAAGGAAAACCTTAAATAAACTGCCCTGGTGACACAAGGGACTCTCCCCATTATGTGCACACACTAGGAAGCTTTTTAATAGAGCAAAAAACATGGGGGAGTATGGGTCATATCAAAATACACTTACCGAACACAATAAGGAGATATGGGAGACAAAACGTGATAGGAAATTGAACAAATTCCAGAACTCCACAAAGGAACAAAGGGTAGAATCGGTTCCTTGAAGAAAATTGAGGGGGGTTATACAGAGATCGCAAAGGAGACCTTGGAGCTTTTGCTTCAATCAAACTTTCCGGGATCAAAGACCCTCGCTCAAAATGAGGCGGGCGAATCAATAATTACTCTGGAACCACTTCTCAGGGGGAACAGAGAAAATTATGGTTTTGGCGTGACAGATAGTGAACCTAATCAAACTTAGGTGGGCAGTGAAGACTATGTACATTATTAAGGGCAAATTTTGCCCTGGAATACATACCTATGACGTGGAGGGACGTAAAAGTCGTATTCATACCGAAACCTGGGCGAGACTCATATGCCCAAGCCAAATCGTTAAGACCCATCAGTCTAACGTCGTTTCTACTACAACTAATGGAGGAATATATTGTAATGGAACCGAATTTGCCCGTTAAATTCGATTTAAATATTCCCGAAGCCACCTCTGGCGCAGAAGAAGTCAAGATTGAGCTTTGTTTCGTTTCCGTGGAACACGTGATTTTTTTCTTCTCTGCTCTACATTGAAATGGGCCATAATTTACAATAAAAGTGTCAAATATATCGCTATACGAGGGAACTTAATGATCCTTATCTTCGTCTATGATTTTCTTAAAAAAGGGAAATAGATGTAGATGTAGGTATTTGTGATTTTGTTGAGGGCAGAAGTAATTTTTACGTTTCGAATAGTGAGTGCAGCTTTGACGATTACAAAGGTTACATATGCATTTTTATCTCTACGTCTATTGCATCCAGGGGCGGAGTGATCCGGGGGGGCGGGTGGCGATTGCCACCTGGCCTGTAGGTAATACTCGCATATTGGCCCGTTGGAAATTTATAAGTCTGTGCTGTATTTAGTTTCTTGCACTATTAATAAATTATTACCATTTTCTCTCATTGGGGGTTGATAAAAAATTCTGTTTTTATTTAAGTGTTTTACAATGAATGTATCATTTTTGGTCGTATTTTGAAAGCGCTGAAACATAATTACAGGCGACGCGCCTCGCTTGGATTATGTATATTTTGTTACTTTTAATTATCAGCTGCAATAAAAAAAAAACTATATTCTAATTGATTTTCGAGAAAGGAATACTTTAAAATGAAGCAAAAAAGCAGAGTTGAACCCCCCCCCCCCTCTCATTGCACCTAATACTTTTTAATGGCCCGTAACCTATGCAATTCCACCTGGCGTAAGTACCCAGCTCCGTCCTGAATTTGGCATCATCTAGTAATGATATACGATCAAATGATATAGATTATTTGACAATGTTAAACGGTGTTCTCGTACAGCATGCGTATTGCCATTTATCACCCTTCTAAATACTATTGCCCTTTTGGTAATTATACTGGTCAGACTTTGATAACGCATAGAGATTCTAGGTAAATATGTTGTTTTTCAAATTTACATAACTTTGTTTTGTTAGTGATGGTTTTACTGCCAACCCGTATACTGATTACTGTTTATTTACAGGGTGTTTCATCTGGGTACGTTAGGGTGGTTGATTGTTACATATTGCACTTGGCATTGAGAATTAATTACTTTATACTAATTTTTTGCCACGACATGTTCCTGTGTTTTGTTGTAATGTGGTATTTAACGTTATGCTCCTACTATTTATTTGAATCGGGTGATATGATTATTAATATTTCGCAGAGTGACTTATTCCATACAATGTAACCATCCATACAATGTTGACATGTCATGACCAGAGCAACTAAAGACTACTCGGTGTGGGATTTGGACTGGCCATCCAATATTCAAACTTGTTAGGTGAATTTATTGCAATGTTTTAATGATTGTTTTTTTATTTATGTGTGTCAAAGATCGATTCTTTAGGAATTCCAGTGGAGCCTGTGACTCGACATTATATTAATTTACTTGACAACTATCATAATATGCATTTATCTCATTACAGATTTTGCTATAAAGTTTAATATTAATTTGTTCGCTGGTTTTTTTCTTGGTCAGTTCTTTTTTTCCCAGCCTATTGTCATATTTGTACTCGGTGAACTACCATTTTTTAAATTTGATCTTGCAATGCGAATTATTTGGATTAAATCTCCGTTTTTAAAGCATGTACTGGTTTTATTTGTATTCCTTACTTGATCCTCACTCTGACAAGCAATACATATCTTGTAGCGACTCTTAAAACACAACGTAGTAGTGGTGCTATTATTTTGTTATTCAGGTTAGGTAGCTTTGTCTAGACTCTAGACGATCATGTGGCATGCGGTTCAGTTAGTTTGGGAGGAAGGTTTTGAATTTAAATCTTGAGTTGCGCAGTCTCTCGGAGCTGGAATGGGTATGCCACAATATTGAGGGAGACATAAGGGATGAGGTGCTGAGGCCTGAACCCATCAGTAAAGACCAATGCGCCTATCAACCAGCAAAATCCAGTGAACTTGCTATCCACAGAGCAGTGGGTGTAGCTGAAAGGGCGATCTCCTGTATGTTACACTCGATATTTGCCATCTGATGATGCTAAATGCCTTTCCGCTTGTATAACGCTGCAGATATCACTTATCACACATCTACATGTTACAAGCTAAGATCCTGTAATTAACTTACTCTGTATAACTAGTAGCTAATAGGGATTTTGGTGTTTCAAAAGTTGAATATTTGTTACATGAAGTAAATGATGAACAAAACAATTTTTCATTCACAATAAATTAAACGGCGTTTTTGTAAGCCCACGATTTACGCATAAGCAAAAGCGAAACAATCGTTTATAACTTTAAGATCGAAATCTACCATGAGATGATCGCTAATCGTTTAAGAAATAAATATAAGAAGCAACACTTACACTTTTTTTAAGCAATTTTTGTGTAGATACCTGAACTCCTAGCTTGGGCAGGGGCGAACTTTTGCTCGTTTGTTTAATAAGCGCGCATATAAGTTCAGCTTGGAGTTCTGGCATATCCAGACACTGTTGCAACGCATTCTGCGCTAATATCACGTGATAGTCGATACCGGCCTGATCGACGGCCGCCGACATGAACAGCTGCAGACACTTAAACTGCTTAATTGCTTCGGCCTGTAATGAAATTCTCAGTGTTGCAAAACCCATTGGGTTGATAATCACCTGTAGTGCTTCGGTTGGAAGAGTTGTGAGTGGGAAGTAGGAAGGAATAGCTCCATCTTTGGTGCACGGGACGTGCAGTAAAACGGGATGCCTCCAAAGTACACAATTCGTATCGCCATCAACTTCCATCAATTTATGGATGAGCTGTTCGTACTGTGTACCACTACTAGGGCCCCCGCCGCTTGCAACCGTCAGATGGTACAACCACGAATCTTTTTCCTAAACTCACAGCCTTAATCTGGAGTTCCACACAACAGTACAAACTTACCTGTTTACCAGGGCAGAGTAGGTAGGTCGGTCCTTGGTGATTAGGAAATATGCCCAATGTCAACTCTGTGCATTCAGCATCCTTGTCCTCGGAATCGGAATCAGACAAATGATCAACTTCCTCCACCCGTGAATCGCGCATGTTGATCTGTCCGGCCGGTGTCTACATACCATAATTAGTCTCCCATCCCTTTGTGCGAGTAATACTTACAGTGTCAGTAGGAGATTTAAAATACAAAAACATTTTTCCTATCAACACACACCAGCATTTCTTCGCGTGCCCATTCTTAACTTTGGTAAGCCATCCTTGAACGGATGGCTTATTCTCCTCCTTACTTAACAATAACTTTGTCGCATTTCGGCGCTGTACATTTTGCAAGGTTCGTACCCAGTCTTCCATTGCAGTGATCGAGTCAGCAGTTAAATAGTACGTTTTCTTCCCTGTATCAATTTCAAAAGTATTGGACCCATCCGCTCTCGTTATTTTACAAATTTCATCTAATAATATTTGCCCTTGAGGTTTCCTATTAATATCACTTTGGTTCTTGTAGTACGTTAAAACACCATTTTTTAGAACAAACCACCGCTTCCGCCACGTTTTCAATTTTCCACCTGTGAACCACAAAGTAAACACCCGGTAAAGGTGGAGCTTACGGTACCTAATTTCGCTAAAGATCCACTCTTCTCTATACTCTCCGATTTTTTATTGGGACTATCCATAAACGAGGTTCGCAAGATTGATGATTCTAAACTTGTCGTATCACAACTAAGGGCGTCTGGAGGCACTGCGTAATCATCTGACATACCCGACTCGAATGAGGTATCTGAAACGCCTGAGTGTCATGGTTAACAACCACAACATTTGTAAAATAAGAAAAAGGAAAGTAAAATTGTACACGTAAATAAAAAAGTGTATATTGTAAATATTAACCTCTTGTTTTACTTTTACTCGGCGACCCGCTGCTACTCGAGGCTGTTCGTTTGCCAGGACTCGAACCTGTTGTATCACCCGAACTTCTACTGTGAGTATTAGTTCCGTCGATTGCCTGAAATTGTTATACCTTTTAGATTATAATCGCATTGTAGTGTTTTTACTTGCGAAATGCGGGCGAAACAATTTCTACAAGTCACATATGATTCGAGTTATAGCGAGTTATGAGGATTCATATGTTGGCCCCTATTTTCAGAAGTTCAACTGGTTGCTTAGTTTTGCATTTGAACTTTTATTGTAACGGTAGCTCTTAAATCTGGATTTATTACTTCGAATTTTATAGAGCGTTAGAGCAGTTTGGGTATTACATATCATAGAACGGCTACAGGGTGCAAAAAATCGGAGGGATAAATTTTACAATAAATTATATGGCTGGTGTGAATGGTGGTTGAATTGTTAGAAAAAGTCTGTACGCAATTGGTAGAATTAAATTTTCTGCGACTTTTGATTTCTATAGAGCATTGTTACCTTACTAAATTTTGGATTTTGTTGCAAGAAATAGCTGACCAAAAAGTACCTAGCTGCAAGTTTAGCGTACCAATTTTAAAGATACAACTTGGTAGGCGTGGTTAGTTACGAGGTACAGCCTAAACCTCGTCTTTTTGGGGAGGTACTGCTAATCAGAGTTACATTTGAGCAAAATGGTCTACTTAGTCTCTAGACGCCATGTTAAAAAAAGTGAAAATTAATAAATAAAAAAGGGTGGAGTGATCTGGAGTAGTTGTGAAGGTATTTGTTCTTGGGCTACGAGATCGTTACGTACATGGTCCAAGACATGTGTTGTTTTTGAGCGCAAAACGCAAGATTTCAAGCAGTTGTAATCTAAAAGAAAGATTTTTCTGATAGATTCGTTTCTGTACCAATCGCGTAGTCACGGTATGGTTCAGATTAATAGAATCTGCCTCACGTTTTAAGCATTAAAAAAAGTTCGTTCGTGTTTTATCGGGGTGAAAATTGCAGTCTTTTCCTCAGAACGGAATCTTCAAACGCAAGTAAAGTGCGTTTACAATTAAATGAACTAACATTCGGTTAGTTCGATCGACCGACCGTGTCGGTTGTTATCTATGCTCAAGAAAAAGATTAGGGATAAAGGGAAGACGATAAAAATGGATGAACCAGGCGCTTCTTTATGAGAAACATACAGATCTGTTTATTTATGTTATAGGAGTGGGAAATATGAGGCAGAAGTAAGTGTTGTAACTTGTAGTGTCGTTGATAAGGAAAGCAAAACACCGTATCTATACTTGTTCCGTTTTTAATTGGTCACGTAGATATTTTAATGATTCTTGCAAGTCGGGAGAAAATATTGTGCTTCGTTAATTAATTATGAGCCGCTTTTAGTTTCTCAATGTTAAAAAAAGCGAGTATTAAATCAAGCAAGGCCATGTAGTTTATGATAGATAAGCAGACCTCTCGCTTGATCCAAACATTACAATTAACAATGCGCCTTACTCGATTACCAAATGTTGGAATTTTAATCCGGCCAATTAAGTGAGTTTAATTAGCCGTAGTGCAAACGTTATCAAAATGGGTCGTGTTTAGTATCAAATGAAGCGCGCTTAATTAACATGAATTTTAAGACTGGTTCCCGATTGGCGATTATCATAACAGGGAACACTGTAATTAATTAAAGAAGTTTACATTTTGGAATGTTATCTACAGAGTACGTTGTGCCGGTTGGAGAATCACCGGGCCCGTCCACAAATTTGCGAATTCTATAAAATAAAATAAAAGATCTTTAGGCGTCAACGAGTAAGTTTGGAACGTTGAATTTTCGCATTTTACCATACCGTTTAATTTCAAACTAAGCATGTGAAACGTCTCTTTTCGTTAATTATGAAGGACATTTTGGGATTGGGAGTTTAATCTCCGAAAAAACTCTATCCAGAGGGCAACAGTAGTCATATAAGGTCGAACCTGGATCAGTTCAATGTCAAGTTATCTAGCTCTTCTGACGAGGAATTTCGAAGCTTGCTCACCGTTCAAAGTTCTAAGGTTGGTCAACGTTCAAAGTGCAAAGGTTGGCCGACGTTCAAGACCCCATTTTGTGATGTGATACTTCATTTTTAAGGTAACCCCCTAACCTAGTATGGGAGTACCTACACTTTCCAAGATTTTCATAATTCACTGCCCGCATTTCACAAAAACTCGATTTAAATTTGAAAAATTTAATAATTAACTCAACCTTAATTTTCCTTATTCGTCAAACCCTTGCCATTCAGTTATCTACAGTGCTGACAGCAGTACTGCTTTACCACTTCGAACTATGTCAAAACAACATAATTACTATTTATTTAAAATCATCAGTTTGAGGGTCGAGGAGAAAGGAAAATTGGTGTTGAGATAAGTGATTCAAGTTTTATTATTTATAGTTTACTACAACAATTTTTACCGCTGTATTGTTGCCTTCGCCATCGCTCGAATCGTCCGAAGAGTCCCCAGTGAAGGGCATAGACCTAATTTGACTAGCTCTTCCCTTGACAGTTGCATATACAGGCACTGGAATATCTTGGTAACCCGCCTGCTCGGGTCCCACATCACTAGGTGTCGTGCCTGTCAACGTCAATCCATCTGCGGCAACCTACAAATGCTTAAACAGTGAAAAAAAGGGTAAGTAAATCGCGTGCTCACTTGATATATCCTATTTTCCCAACTAGGAAATCGATGGAGGGGCGGCGTGGGTGCCCTGGGCCAAGGAACCTTTTCTCGACTGGGCGTGTATATTTCAGCGTAATCGTGCGCTAAATCGGGATCGGAGGCACTACCGCTCGTTATTCGACCTAAACTTAAATTATCGACAGCCACGCGCAAATCCTCCGAGAGAGGATCCATACTTGAATTGCTAGTTACAAAATTACTGTTTATAAAGCTAGCACTTGGCACAGATGGTTCGAATGAATTTGTAGATATGCAAACTGATTGATGCCTGCGGTGTCGGGAGGTTCTCGACGCGCTCTGCCCGACGGCGACCTGACCTCTCGGTTCGGGAGAGCAACTTTCCGATCTTCTCCTATCACTCAATGCTATGTGATTCTTTAACAGTTCCAACTGCTGATTGCACTTGATATTCTGCTCCCTTAAAACCTGGTTCTGCTGTTCCAATTCCCTAAGTTTGTTCGTGACCCATTCCTTTATGCGGGCGGCTTTAGCTTCGACCTGGCGGGCGTCGTGTAATCTCAATTGGCGTTGCTCTTCTATCTCTCCTTCCAGACGCGATATCTGGGTGTTGGAGTCATTTGATTGCGACCATGCCAGCTTTTGTTCCATTATTCGTACCTGCAAGGAGACAAACGGATTATTCATTGTGTCTTGTCAGAGCCGGAGTAGATCTTTATATAGCAATAGCGCAAAATTGACCACAAATATGAAGGAATATCGGATTGCTCTACGCAAATTGATGTCACTTGAGATGGGGGCGCCCAAGGGCACGTAAACATATACCATATCAAGTGTTTTAATTATTATTACATAGATTATTGTAATTTTTCGTCAAGGTTAAAGGTGCAGATGAGACAATTATTTACCAGCACACTATTCAAAATCTTGCGTCCAGATAATATTAGATATTAATAAATGTTTCAAAACCCATTCGTGGATGTTGCCAAGTAACACAACTGTAAATGATGAGTAAATGGCAAGTACAGACCATGATTGGAAGCAGGCCATCGTCGTCATAATCCTGCCTTTGACGTCGTCAGTGGCGGTTCCAGAGGGGGAGGGGGGGCCCCCCCCCCCCATTGTTCATTTTTTCCATCAGATTTCTTTTATTTTTTTCCGTGTTGGGACAAAGTTCGGGTTTGGGCCCCTCCCTTTACTAAATCCTGGGACCGCTACTGGACGTCGTTATACTTTTCCGTAATTATTTGGCAACTTAGGTCATTTACCTGCATTTTCAAGACAAATATGTTTGCACCACGTACTTATAATCGAATAAACTGAATTGCGTTTGCGTAACAATTGTTGACGTCGTTTGCGTGTAAGACTTTGGGGGTATATCATAGTCGAATTTATCATTAGGATTTGCACTCTAATTGTGTATTGATTTAAGACAGCATACTGCACTTGGCAGTATTTATTGATTTAAATGTATAATTCGGGTAACGTATCGATTTTGATTTTAATAGAATATTCATATTTGGCACTGAGCACAACGTTCCCAATTTGTTTTGTCATAATTTGCCGGCCCGTTCAGTTGAATCTGGACTGTGGTACTAAGGGTCCCTGGTTGGAATCCGGGTTCGGACATGGATATCTGTAAATGTATAATGGGTTGGGTTGGTAGAGCAGCCTTGGTTGAAATTTAATTACCACGTAATACAAAACAGGTATTTAAGAAAAAAAAGGTAAGTTGCAACGAGTTAATAACCTAAGGAGCAATTACAGGCCAACGAGTCAGTGAGTAAATATCAACAAATAGTGGCGTAACGACGTGGCGGTAGTACTTCCAACCCTACACATCTTGAAACATTACATTACCATCTCAAAAATTGGGTGACAGTGGATTATCATTTTCTTTGCCCCTTCCAATATGTACTTGTGCGAAAACTAAATTATAAATGTGAAAACAATTTTGTCGTGAAATACCATATTCACTATAGATGCATTCAAGAGAACCTTAAATATGCCAAAGGTTCTTATACTGAAAGTCCCTAAAAATACGATAGCAAGCGGAAACTAACTAGACTAAAACCTCTACTAAAGCGGTCTTAAGAACTGGTCGTATGTGAAACGGCTCATGTCATAACAGAACACGGTAACTTTGGCAGATATTTCAACAAATTCAAGGTTAAACACGCAAGGGCTTACCCCTTAATACTGCAGGAAAGAGAGAAAGAATATTTTTCAATGCATAATCGTCGGAACCTGATACGAACAGGAGCCGGAAATATGAACTCGTCCTATATGCAAAGAGGAGAGGGAGAGATGATGGATCATACTGAGAAGAAGAACAGAGTAGGAGTTAGCCACCGCAGGGGAAAATAAATAATTTAAAAAAACGGTTCCCACCTGAGATACACAGTGTTCTAACATTTTTTGATAAAAAAATCTTTAGGTTAAAAATTTTGACCATCAAGAGCGCCTTCAAAATCTTAAAGTTTCCCAATTTAGCTGTTTTTGTCGTAAATTTGAGAAATTATAAGGTTGCGGGGGCAAACAATTTGGATTTTTTAATTTTTTAGCATATTTAGCACATTTGCATGGCTACTTTACCATTTATAGCGCACACATACCTTTTAAAGCCTTTGGGATGTTAAAAAACTTCCGAATTCGACTATTTCCTTCGTCAATTTAAAAAATCATGAGTTTGGAGTAACAAAATATTTAAGAATGAACGATGGGGGCATCTGAAATCTGAATCTTTAAATTTTTTAGCACAGTTAGTACTTTTTGAGTCAAAAATCTTAAATTTAAAGCAGTTTTTACCATTGAAAATGCACATACGACACCTTTTATAGACTTTAAGATTATAAAAGCTTCCAAAATCGCCTATTTCCGTAGTGAATTTTAAACAATAATGGAATTTTTCACACACAAAATTAATAATACAGAAATGGCGCTGCTGAAACTCAAATCTATATTAGGTTTCAAGATTTTAAAGCTTCTAAATTCGGTATTTCCATTCGTAAATTCAGAAAATCATGAGGTTATGATTTAAAAAAAATGTAAAATGCAAAAATGGGTCTTTGGACGCTTAACAACTACAGTGAGTTTAAGTTTAGTCGGGTATGTACGTACTTCCCACCCTAATAGGAAGGAGAAACTCACCCTACCATTGGAAGATAGAACCTATGCAGCTTGGTGTCCTTAAAAAGTATACGGTAGCCTATCAATTCTGTAGATGCCGATTCTAATTAAAAACGTCCGCATGCCGTAGTTTACACAACAATACCTATTTGGTTTAGCGGATCCCAAGCTTTTTTTATCTGGGAACTGGGAATCTTCATCTTCATTCACATGAATGAGAATTTTCTAAGTTTAGATATGGTGGTTATTTGAGATTGAACACGATGTCGATCATATTATTTGAATTTGAAGTTCATTGTTTTTTGTATTAGAATTTATAAGATGTAAGATCTGGAAATAATTGCATTGTGTTATTATAAAAGTTTATCTCCGGTCAATCTGATAAGGAGTTCGTAATCGCTGCGTAAAAGCCAAATAAGTTGTAGATAAGTAAGTGTGTTTTTCACTGTAAGAAAACTCAGGTGTGAGTCGAAGACGAAAATTCAAGAAAACGAGGAAGAAGGAGTAGTCGTTAAATGGACGAAGCGGACGGGAAACGGCGTTTTTTTTGTCGAGCTTTTGGAACAGTTTCTGGTAGATGGTTTTTGGAAAGACAGTCAGTTTTGTTTGTTGTAAAGTTCTTGTAGAGGAAGGTCTAGTTGGTGCTCTATGAGTTTATAATTTGTCGCTATGAAAGTGAAAGTTCGAATTCCCGTTTCAGATTCGTGTCACGTTTATTGAGAAGTAGTCTGAGTTCCAAAAAAAATCTGTAAATTTGCAATTAAATATGTAAATTAATAAAAAATGAATCGTGTGGCCAAATCTACGGAATACAATTAAGTGAATCCCTAAACAAGCAAGGGTTTGACATTTGGGTATACCATCTTTGTTATATAATATGCAAACATTTCATTAATTTACACTATAACACCATGAACTGCGCAATATGAAAAGTGCAAATGCTGTAATTTTGGCAGTGACCCCTTACCCTTATTTACCTCTCCTAGCAAGTGGCCATTGCCAAGAACTCCAGATTCAATGTCAAAACCGAGGCTTCCACTCCAAATTCAAACAGCCTATGATTATGCGTCTTTCGATTTGTTTGGTAAGGATAGTAAGTACTTCCGTGTGACACGAAGCTTAAGTTACAGTTCTATTGAATTTAGTAATTTAAAAAACCCAGCTGTAAAGGGTATCATGCTTCCGATCTACAGTAGCTACCACACCTGCGTGTAACTAATACTTCACAAAAACGAAAAGTATTAGGTACACACTGACTCATTGCGTTTAATCATTTAATAATATCCTTTGGTCTGAAACCGGTGTCAGTCAACTCTTTCGCCTAAGATATTAATACAGATCGTATAAATAGAAACATTACCTGAGCACTCCATGATTGTCATCGTCGCTTCACATAAAAATATATACGACGAGAAAAATGTTCTTAAACCACTAAAACCAAAAGCACTTAATTTAAAAGAAGGGAGTTCTCACGGTGGCCACAGTTTCGGACAAGAAACTGAGCTGTCTGCAGTTATAAATCGGCGCCAGATCGTCCCGACGCCGTCGCCGCCGTCAGTAAACTTCCCCAGTAGTAGGTACAGAGTTAACCCCCCTCGTTATTCGACTGGCAAACGGCCAAACACCCCGCGTATGAGCGAGCCGAGGACGTACACTTCTCTAAGTCACAAATTGTCACGTAATAATAATAAAGAGGGGTCCCGTACGAATTTAAAAGTTGTATCATTGTGTCACTCGCGTGGGGAAGGGTGGTACTTACCCTTCGTTTGTAAATTGTTAATGGAACAGATGTTCATAAAACAAAGCGACGGCGAGCATGTAGGGCAATTATTTAAATAAAAAAAGGGTAAAAAAACATGCAAACTGTATTCATTACACGCACATTTCGGCCAAGTGTGACTGCGACAAAAGTGCTCTCTTTCCTAATTTTCCAAGTTCATTTGGAAAAAAACCAAAGGTCGCAAAGCAGATGCGCTTTTCCCTGGTTTCGAATTTAAGGCATAAATTTGTATTCGAGGCGTAGGCATTTTCTCTCACCTTGCGACGATAGGTGATTCGGATAAGACCGTAAAGGCTATGAAATTATGCAGAAAGATGGAATATCACTCAAATGTGGTAGGTACTACTCGAATTTCCAAAATTGCTTATACCTTATCGTTCTTGTGGTAGTAGGTATATCTATCACATAAATTTTTGAAATTCGTTCTTTGCTTTCTTGTGAGCTACACACTGGACACACGGTAGGGGAATTTTTTGACCATCGGCTTTCATTCAGAAACACGACTTTGAATCCGGCTCATATTCAATAGCGAAATATATAAAAATCAGTTGGCGAAGGTTTGACATGGCTGTCTCATTTCGTTCTAAAGTTAGACGAAAAACAGACGGACAGATAGATGGACAAACCCTCACATAAAGGGAATTTTCTTTTGAAAAATTTCCCTAAAAACGTAGCTTCCTACGCGGCGGAGATTTAAGGCTGACTAACAGAAAACGATAACAAGATAAAAACGTTGTCACCGATGAAAGTGCGATTTCCCCGCATCCAAAAAATCTTTTGCGGTTCTGATCTCGGGGCTGACCTACACCGTATAAGAAAGAAACCACGACGAGAGGACTAGTAGGGGTACGGACGGACAGACTGACGGACAAAGTGCGGACAATAGCGTTCATTTAAGGAAAATGCGCTAAAAACTTAACATAAACAATAAACATAACTGGTTGTTCCGTATACCTATTTTAATGTAAATTGTGTTGGGTTTTTATGAAATGTCAAAATGGATTACAAATAATTAACTAACATAATTGTACAGGGTGGTTCAAATTCGTCGCTCACCGGTGGGATCTCCGTAACGGTGAGCTATACACTGTAGGTTAAATGGGGGCTAAGTTGTCCCTTTTTGTGACTAAAAAATCGCATTTAAAATTTTTGAAAAATCGTTGGAAATAACTGAGATATCACCGAAAAACGTCAACTTTCGTTTTCTTTTTCGGTCGGAAATTGACGGGTCCCGTTAGCTTCTATTGGCACTTTTTTTCCAAGAATCTGAATCTGTTATCAGCATTTCCACGCTAGATATGTAGAAGCTACATGTATTTTTACAAAATGAAATAGAAGACAAAAAAGAAAAATAATGAGGCACCATACGTGATACTTATATAAATTGGCAAGAAGAATTTTAAAATCAACTAAACATCTCGCTAAACATCAACAAGTAACTAGATCTTACTGAATCAACATGACTATAATAGCGATGTATTCAAACGAATTTCTTTTTTCATAAAAATCCAATATGGAGTCTATAAGAAATAAGCAAGTAGCTTCTACATTTAGCGTGTTAGGAAATTCTGATATGAAATTTAGATTCTCCAAAAAAAGTGTCCAAAGAAGGTGCTGTAATCGTTACGGAGATCCACGAATTGGAACCACCCTGTTCATGAATAAGCTAACTTTTAATAATGCAAATTCAAATTTAAAATTTCGGGGTAGTGGTGATGGGGGCAGGTAACAAGATACATGTACGGTCAGCCCTCCACACTTACGATCTGATTGAAACTTTTCCAGTGTCAAGAGTTTCCAAAATTCAAACGTACTGTGCCTTGTAACGGGAGCCCTGTATTATGGTTTATTTACTTTGAATTTTTTACGGTTATTTTTGGGCGAATGGTCTTTATGTATGAAAAGTTAAAAGCGCCAACTTATCCCATCATGAGACAAAAATGATTAGATGTACGTGACCGTCAGGCTGAATCAGATCCGTTCGAGGTTTCTGGAAAAGTGCTTTTCTGAAGTGGGGGTTGGTGAAAAGAAATGAATTCTATTGGTAGAACAAATTCGAAAAAAATGTGGGGTTTAGGCCGTGAAAAATAACCACAGGGATTGCAGGACGCTGGAAATCACGACAGAGGCTATCAAAAGAAAAAAAATCGTAAGCAATCGCCCTTGCAATAGTTAAATCGGGGTGAAAAGAAATTCAGTTCAAGTAGCCAAAAATTCAAATTCGGTTAAGCTGAGAAGCATAATTTCCTTCCTCATAGCAGTTGGGCCCCGCCTAGAGAAGTTAATTCAATTAGGCGATGATTTTTGGATTGTGAATATTCGCACCTGGAAATTTTCACGTTGAATAGCGCCATCGAAGTTTTGTCCGGTGTTTGCTCAGCGACGAATTAAATACTGCGCTAGTTCGAACTGTACGAGTAGATTCGAAATAAATAAATTATAATTTTTGACGTTTTAATTTGCACAACAGTTGCAAAGGAAGACATAAATCGCGAATTACAGACAGCGTAACATTTAAAATCGAGAATTTGAACTCTTTGATCCTGAACATAGGAAAGGGGACTGTAAATAAATAGTAATCCGGCATCGCATTTCACTATTCGTGCGCACTCAATTCACTCAATGCCAAATTCGTATTCCGGCGGATCGCGTAAATTGTGCAATCTTTTGAAATTGCCAAGAAAAGGAAGTGCAGTTTCGGTCCATAGATTTTTCTCTGTTCGATAACGTTTTGTGGACAGACTAGAGACTAGCCTGTGCTCGAGTCGCACGCCCAGGGATTTCACTATCGTAGTTATTAAAGAAATAAGGTAATCACTTTTTTTTTTATTATATTCAACTTTGCCTTTAAAGATTTTAAAGAAGTTAGCTTTAGTCATTTAAATAGTAAGAAAAGAAACCCTTACTTAAAGAATCTGCACTTTCATATTGACGAATTTTTTTTAAAAATTCCATGGAGTATTAAATTTTGAATAGTGAAAAACTGATGGTATAGTAGGAATAATGATACTAGCAATTTTCTATTTTTAAGAGTACGAATTGTGCGCAGTAATTATTAATAATAATAATAAACCATTTATTTGTAGATAAAAAACAACAAAATATTTTTCACTTTAAACTTAAAAATTATTATAACAAATAAATGTATAAAATCTACATTCACACAAACATGGGTACATTGGACATTAAAAAGAAAAGAAAAAAAATATCAACACTGAATTCATACCTGCAGCAGATATCTGTTTAAAAACTTGTTAATATCTTTTGGCAGGTGCAAGGTGAATAACTTGATAATAGAATTTAAAAAAAAGAAAAATAAAATTTAAAAAAAAATAAGAAAGAAAATAAAAATAAGCTAAAAATAAAAATAAATAAGATAAAGGGAAAGATGATAAGTAACAAAGGACTAATAGTTAAATTAAATTTGAACTAAAAGAATGTTTCGAACCTCTTGTATACTCATTGAAGCACACATTTTTTTTACATTTTTCAGAAATGATTTATTCGATAGAATAAAAAACAAGGAGCTATTGTACTTTAGTTGAAACTGGTTATAGACCTTGATTACATGAAAAGTGAAGTTTTTTTGTGCAACTTGTTTGTTAACTGTTACATTGTCGGACAGTTTTGAATCTTGTAGTGTAGTTGTGAGTAGGAATATTAAGCAGTGTAGACTTGCGTTTGTAGATGTATTTTAAGAAGGTGAGTATATAAAGATGATAAATAGAAAACAACTTAGTTTCTTTAAAGAGTTGTTCTGATGATAGCATTAACGGTTTTCGAAATAATATTTTTAAAATTAGTAAATTATTTTTTTAACATTAAAAAAGGGGTGAAGCAAGATAACAGAGTTTCCACTTAACTGTTATAACGTGAAAACCACGTTTACAAAAAAATAGGTAAAATATGCCAGCTAATCAGGTCGGCGCAATGGTCGTAGGTAAGTACATATAATTTATCTGTAATCAAAAGACAACTTAAACATTCCACCAAAAGAATCAAACTCATGCATTTACCCAAACACAAAGATCTTTATTCGAAATTTAAAAAAAAGGTTTTCGTTGGCACGTAGTGAACAAAATTAATTAAATTGATATAATTGAAGCTTACATCACACAGCTTTTATGTAAATGTGGCCATATTTTTACAGGTAGCGCTGCAGATTTAGAAAGTAAGTACTAATACTAATTGGTTTGAACACATCCATTACCAATGGACAAGTAGCCACTCTAGTTACGTTAAATTAATAAATATATCGAAATCAACTTTTAAACAGCAAAAGAACAAATTTATTTCAGCTGCCAACTTTTTATCCAAAGTTGTGCTTGTCCACGGTTTAAACAAAAATAACAAATTTGTATGAAAATAAATCAAAAACAAATCCAAAACTACATACCAACTGATTTGTGTATTGTTATAAATTGAACTTCGAATTTTCCAGATTGAATGGCGGTAGGATTATCCACAAAGGTTTTTCACGGAAGGTTACTCCCAACAAATGATAACGCTTGCCTCGGCGCCTTTTGACCACAACCCAAAAAAACGTCGAACCCCAAACGTGGTAAGTATTTCTTCTGCACAGCAGCTTCGCTTTATTTTTAGAACTTGATCCGAAACCAAATTTTCAGAAAAACATAAACCATATAAACCCAAAAATAAAAGGCTAAAAAAATATATGTATGAATAGAACAAACGATCAGAAAAAAACTTACGACTTGGCAACAAATCCCTTTTCAAAACACCGTCTAATCGAACTCAAATTTCAAAAAACAACTCTTGGTAGGTAAGTAATTAACCTTTGACAAGATTATATTTGCAGTTTGCCAGAAATTAGCAACAAATTCTACGGCGTAATTCGTTTCACCGCAGCCGTCTTTTCGCTTTCGTAGCTATCAAGGAAGTATTGGTGCTTATTTATTGGAAATTTTTGAGTTCCTTCAAGGATTTATAGTGATATAAAATTGAATAAACGAGAAAGGTACACTGTTAAAATGTATTTATTTTACACTGTGAACATAAATTTGTTACACTGTATGACTACGTATGACTTTAAGAAGGGATTTTTGAGTAAAAAAAGTTAAATTTAGAGAGAGGTAAAAAAACGAAGACAGAAGTTTGTTTTTAGAATTTTCTTTAATACACGTAACTAGTTTGACATTTTTAATTGTTAAATGCAATCAAGCGGTTAAGCAGGAGCGCGATAAATTAATAATTTTTCAGATATATCAGGAAAAGGTTCATATTCGTCGGGGGTAATCCACCCTGCATAAATGTACAACCTACGACGATGCACACATTCTCGAGAGCTGACAACCCCGCGATTTTTTAGAAGACGAACGGTGTCTACGCGGTCTTAAGCCTCAACATTGGCTACGTAACGGGATTTTCGTTTTAACTTTCGTCACAAAAGCGTATGTTGATATTTTTGTGTTATTTAATACAGTTAGTAATCTTTGCATTTCTTTATACTTTATTTGTGTTTTGTATACAACATTTTATATTTTTTATAATGTTCCATCTGTGTTTTCGAAACTGACTTGATTTAACCTCAATGCAGAATCACGTGTTTGATACCTTTAACTTTTATTGTTTGAAATTACATTCATTTTGGTATAAATGTTTGCTGAATTTATTCTTTTTATGTTTTGATTTCATGGTCTTGGTTTCAAATCAAATTTATAGTTTGATCATTCATTTAAATTTGTGAAAGTTATCGAATTTCACGTGTTTGTCAACAAATGAACGAAAACAAAACGGGCAGGCACTTTCTGCTACCTACGCTCATGTGTCAAACTTTGAACTCGAGTTGAAAAACTCCACTTTCTTCTCTAGTTGTACAAACAACTAAAATTACCCGAAATCGTCAGGAATCCTTCATTTTCATGCCTAATACTTTTATCCCAGGTAATTTTAGTTGCCATAAGAGAGACACTAATACGTTATCTGATTACCTACTTTATCTGCGGCTTGTCATTGTACCGGTCGCGGTCGGACCTGTTACTTTTCCGGCCGCATTTATCACATTGGCAATGTCTAATGGCTTCTGTCATCACTGACAGATTGACATTAATCAAAAGCTCTATATGAAATAGTTATTTACATAGAAGTCAGGAAAATGATACATTACAGGCGAGGGAATATTGAAGTGCGAGGCCCGTTTGAGGCCGAGTACTTTAATTTTCGAGTCAGGTAATGACATTTTACTGACTTCTATGTAAATAACTATTTCATATAGAGAGATATAGAGTTTTGTATTAAATTTTACCCGAAATCGTCTTTTAATATTTATATAGAACTTTTGATTAATGCCAATCTGTCAGTGATTATAGGAGTCATTATAGACATTCGGAAGCGTTAAAAATGCGGCCGGTAAAGTGACGGTGCGGCCAGTAGTGACAAGCGGCAAGATTTCCTGACAGAAAGTAGGCATTAAAATGAAGGTTTCAGGACGATTTTGGGTAAAATATTAAATAAGATGATTTCGTGTAAATATGAATACAAAACTCGTCAGTAAAATGACACTACTTCACTCGGAAGTACTTGTCCCCAAAGGGGCCTTCAATATTTCCTCGTGCAAATGCAAATAAACTCCTAGGGCGGATGTAAAAAAGCAGCAGAGGACCTCGGTGTGACACTACGGGGTCATTGGATTTGACCTATTTTTATTAGGCTTGTTAGGTACATGTGGCATATAGGTCAACTGTGCAAAGTTTCAACCTCGGTTTCAACCAAATAGGTTCAAGCGTTTGACAAAGACAGGGAGGCGTGACCCCAAGGAGTCCATTGGATTTGGCCCATTTTTAATAGGCTTATTACTTGTGGCATAATAGGTCAACTGTGCAAAGTTTGAACCGAATCGGAGGAAGAAGGAAGAAATGCCGTGAACTTTTAGGGATGGTTCTTCACGATTTCTAATGAAACTAAACCCCCAAATAAGAAAAGTTATAGGAATGGAAGATCTGTAACATTTGTGTGATCCGTTTCTTCCCATAACCTCAAATTTTCCAATAAAAATAAAAAAAACTGTTTTTTTCTTCGACAGAAATCATCCGATTTTCACGGACCTTAATGGAAACCTACCTTTTTGTATCCCAAACAAGGAATAATTTTTTTGTATGAAAACATTTATTTTTACATTTTATTTTGATCAAAAAACAATAAATTAAAACATTACCTAACGGAAAAATTTCAATCAGAAAAATTGTTTGTAAACAAACTGAAGAAGCTGACGCAGGCCCATAGCCAGGGGCTAAGCCCCACCTAGAACCTATATAAAAATTACAGGAGAAGTCTTTATAAAAAACTTTTGTTACCCCCCCCCTCCCCTAGAAAAATACCGGCCATCCCTGCTACTTCATTCTGGCTACGGGCCTGAGCTGACGCTGACCTAATTAATAACTCGATAATAATGTTAAAAGACAACCTTGGCTGAAAATGCACAAGTTTATGTTCAAGCTGTCATCTTTATACAAAATACTTAAAGGCTGTCTGGTACACACAAAAAAGTACACTATATAATGTAAGATGCATCAAGCCCTTAGAAAAATTCTCCGCAATATTTTCCTTTTGTAAGTACCTACCCTCCTCCAACACTTTTCGAGATATTCGCACTTAAGTTTGACCGAGAGTTTGACTTTCCGAAACAGCATTTCGGGAAATAAAATGTGAGGATCATCTGGAACACATTCATGGTATAGAATGTAAAGAAAAAATAGACAGACAGACCGACAAAATGCGACAATATCACGTTCCCTCACAAATATAGTTTTGCGACTTACGGAAGAAAACATTCTGAACAATTGGTAGTTTGTCCCCACCACAAAATAGGTAGGTATGTCATCTACTAAATGTAACGGCAGGTACCTACTTAATGTTTCCATCAAAATCAAAATCATAATCATGTTCGGTGTGTCTGTCAGTTTCTCTGTATCCATAAAGCTAACTTTTCTATTTATTGAGCAATTTTCAAGAATTTCCAAGAAAATAATTTATCGGAACCAACCAAATTTCTTCGTTCACCGTGGTTCGATCCGTCTGTTCGATTAGGAACCTCGGTCAAGTTTCATTTAAAAGATAATTAGCCAGAATAACTGCAGCTATTCTTACAACAAATAGTAGTTTGTATGACACTTTAGCTTTTCACTTCTCCATCAATAGTTTAGCTTCTTCGTTAACGGTTCAGAGGGTAAAAGCGACACGTTACACAATACCAACCACGTGCGAGGGGACGGACGTGGTCCGTACCTATTATTAAATGGGTGTTTGAATAAAAAATTATTCATCATTCTGTTTAATAAAAAAAATGTAGCACTATTGTTACCTTAACTTGGAAAAACCTAAGCGAAATTTAAGTTAAAGTAAAGCCGATATCGACTTCCAATACTACACGAAAAAAAAACACTAAAATGGTGTTAAGCGTTTAAATTTCATGACTTTCTCGGATGATCTACTTAAATAATTAAAAACCTTCGCCTACTGTAAAATTTATACGAATTTCTGTTGCTTTAAGACTAGGAAGCAGAAACTTAATACGAAATGTGCATTTAGAGGGTTTTTTGGCCAAGCGATATTTGAGAACGTGCGAGGAAAAGGGCAATTTCAAAATACAACATGGGGTTTCCATGTTTCAACCACAACAAAGCGCTTTCTGCACACTTCAGGATGTAGGGAAACCTATACTAAACGTTCAACTTACATTTTTTCGCGAAAATATTCCAAGAAGCAAACAAGCAAATCGGCGCACAAACAAAACAACCAAAACAAAAGTCGAAATAAAAATTATTCCCAATTTCTCGCTTTTCTGTCAGCTGCAAGACGCCATATCCATGGGCACCAGCGTCGCGACGAAAAATAATCAATAAGGGACGATAGGGAAAGTGAGACGCGTTGCTCGGCAACCGCTCAGTACCCCCATCTCACGCAACAATTGATACATACTTCGCGTTTTTTTTTTGCAGCTGCATTTCGATTGCGCTTTAATTGTTTTACTTACATTCTAAAGAGAAAAAAACAAAGAAGTTATACCTTGTCTTCCGCTTCTTCCGCTCGACCCTCCGCTTCCAAAACCCTTTGCTCCAACTCGGAGAGCTGTAAACAAAAACAAACCGTTAGTATTAAATTTATTTGCGCCGCAAGTTTAAATGTTTTCACGTGCTACTGGCGGCGCCACCTAGGGGTGCGCGCGCCAAACACGCCGAAACTAAGTGCAGAAATCAATAATCGTGTAACATGTGTTGCATAACACTCGGGGGTTTATTCTGGCCGCGTTCAGTGATTAACCTTGGGTACAAGAAAATATGAAATTGTGTTATCGACGCAGTAAATGGTTTTCAATTTAAATTTATAATTTTCCTATTTCTGTGGTATAAATTATTCATTATTTTAAAATATCTGATCCAGTTCATGCGCATATAAATGCAAAATTACAATTTTACATAAGCAAGCTTCTTCAAGATAGTATGCAATGTTCCATGACCTAATTTTGCCAGCTGGCAAGTGGAATAGGAAAATAATACAAAGAAGATTGATTAAAATAATGGGAATCTACAATATATGGGCCGATGTGAAACAAGTTTGCCTTAATGCCGAAAGTACAAAAGATTCATCGTAATTGGTATTAAATAAGGATCTCCGAAATATTCGTACACGATTCGTAACCGGAACCTTCACACTACAAAAATTCGCTTCCATATCATTTAAAAAAACGCCATAAAAATTCACCTCGCCAAAATCGTCTGCCAGGAAACTCGATCCCTAATGAAAATGACCTCAAAAACCCACCCTTCGACTAACTTCTCTGAATTCCTTTATACCAAGCAGTATTACTCCGAAAATATTCATCCGAAACAAGATGAACTATACAGTGTGTCCAAGATAAGAATGAACAGCATCGAAGATCCTAAGAGATGCACAGTTGGTTACAACAAAGTTCCGTATTTTAGGGCTCAGTAAAATGATGTTTTAAAAATTGGGAAATTCCGATCCCTTTCCAAGATATTAGAAAAAAACCTTAACCATATTCGTTTTTAGTTTTTTCTGACTTTGTTTGAAAAAGTATCAAAAAACAAATCTCGCTTCCACATAGTAACTTTTTAAGCTCTACAAGATGGCGCGCACAGACTTTCAGTGCGACGACGTTTCGTCTTTGAGAAAAGAGAGAGAATTTTATTGTTCTCCTGTACTTTTGGCCACGTCCTGCATTTTGTTAATCTCATTTTCTGTCACATGCTCAATTTTCCTCATTGCAAAGTTGAAAAAAAACCATTTTTTTGTTCTTGTTTTTGTTATCACGTCTTTTTGTTCATCTTGTTTCCTGTCACATGTTCCCTATTGTCCCTGCTCAAGTGTCCTTTTTTCCGCATTTCAATGAAAATTGAATAACAGAGCCATTTTTAGTGTTTTCTTGTTTTTTCGTCACGTCCCACACTTTGTACATCTCGTTTTCTGTCACATCTTGTTTCCTAGGCCCATGCCATGTTTTAATTTTTTTCTATATTTCAATCAAACTTTTCTTGTTCTTTCATACTGTTTGTCACGTCCCTCAATTTGTTCATCTCATTTTCTCTTACATTGTGTTTTCCATTGCCAATGTCATGTGTTCCTTGTTCTTCCATGTGCCATCTTCCATGTGCTCTTTTCCACGTGCACTCTTCCATGTGCACTCTTCCGTGCGCACTGTTTCTTATGCATTTTGTTTTCCAATGCACATGCCCTGTATTCATTTTTTTCTCATTTCAATCAATCATGAAAAAAGAAGCGCTATTTTTATTGTTCCTTGTACTTTTTATCACGTACCTCATCTGTTCATCTCGTTTTCTATCGCAGTTTGTTTCCCATTCTTCATGCTCATGTGTTCATTTGTTCCTCATTTCAATCAAAATTGAAAAAAGCGATATATTTTATTTTTCTCTTGTACTTTTTATAACCTCCTTAACTTTGTTCATCTCGTTTCCTGTCATATTTTGTTTCCCAATTGCCATGC